ATCTCTGATTCTCATATTCCAGTCCAACTTTTTCTTTTTCGGGTTTGCTCTAACGCTGATTTGTCATTATATCTGAACTGGCAAACAGCTACTACAAACCAACTTGCTTCAACACAAATAAAGAAAACCATGATTTTGACTGGTTCCAGTTCTGTCTTAGAGAAAAAATGGGAATTGCAGTGACTATAGTTCTCAACTATAACGGTGCCACAACTACAAACTTAATTGGTTCTGGAACTCTGGTTGTAACTTGAAATGGTCGTTAAGTTGAAGCACCATTTATCATAGGAATGCGTTCCGGCCGGAAAAAAAACACCAAAAAAAGACCTATCGGAAATGCGATTAGTCTGTTCTGGCTGAAGGGGAAAAAATGAAAGAAAACCAAACAAACCGTGCAAGACCTATCAGAAATGCAATTAATCCATTTCGGCTGAGGGGGGTGGGGGAAAGCAAACAAACAGTACAAGACCCTTTGGAAATGCAAAAAGATCAAAGCAGAAAGCAAACAAACCATGCAAGACCCTTTGGAAATGCAAAAAAAGCAAAGCAGAAAGCAAACAAACCATGTAAGACCCTTCAGAAATGCAAAAAAGCAAAGCAAAAAGCAAATAAACCCCGCAAGACCCTTCAGAAATGCAAAAAAAAGTAAAGCAGGAAGCAGACAAACCCTGCAAGACTCTTCGGAAATGTAAAAAACCAAAGCAGAAAGCAAACAAACCCTGCAAGACTCTTCGGAAATGCAAAAAACCAAAGCAAAAAGCAAACAAACCCTGTAAGACCCATCAGAAATGCAAAAAAAGCAAAGAAAAAAACAAACAACCCTCTCAAGACCCATAGGAAATGGGGAAAAAACACACACAAAAACCCAAGACCTATCGGAAATGGGGGGGAAACCCAAAAAACAAACAAACCTTGAAAGACCCATCATAAATGGGAATACCAAAAAATAAACAAATCCTGCAAGACCCATCACAGTATAGAAACATAATATAAATGGGAATACCAAAAAACAAACAAATCCTGCAAGACCCATCACAGTATAGAAACATAATCCCACCACCCAGCCCAAAACCACGCTGCAAAACCCACCCAGAACAGTTTTTAAAAAGTAAAAAGCAGCACCTTACCAGACAGTCCAAAGCCTCCTCCGATCACACACTCTCTAACTGCTGGGGCGAAAGAGCTACAAAGAAGAAGCCTCTTCACCACCAATGGTTAGCAATGTGAATTCCCTGCCTTTTTTCCCTGCCATTTTCTGGTTATAACTCGAAGCTCTGATCGCAAGTAGAAGCAAAATTTTGCGGCCAGAGCTGGTCATAACTCGAAGTGGTCGTATGTTGGGACGTTTGTAAGTCGAGGCACCACTGTGTAAGACAAGCTCTTGTTAGCAGAATTAATGGGTTTCCATGAACTGCAAAGGAACTTATTTTGGGAAGGGACACAGCTCTAGTCTAACAACTGCCATTTGAGTCTACACAGGAGCATCAATGTTGTACTTAGAGTAGTCCTAATCGAATAAGCTTACATTTCATCATGATTAATTTAAATTCTATTGGTTTCAATGGATTTATTCCAAGAACAAACAAGTGTAACTACAGTTCATTAATTCTAGAAACTTCCACTAAATAGTTCAAAATCATGCTAATTGGTCCAGAGTTGTGATTTAGAAAGCCTTTCATGTTTGAGAAATCAGACTGACAAATAAAAGTCCAAGTCTGGCTCTTGAAAACCAATCACAAACAAAACAAGGTAATGTATAGATTATGTGAGATGAAAAAAGTGGTTGCTGTGACAATCAAGCTTCCAGCAGTTAAAGAATTTTCTCTTCTAATTATAGATCACCCATAGCATACAATTCTACTCTTTAATTCATTCTACAATTTTCCAGGAGAATCCATATTACCAGTTTCCTCCCTTGTTTTTATGGATGGTACAGAACTCCCAAAACTTGAGAAATCTGTGAAAAAACATTATCAGCCCAGAAACAAGACCAACAAAGATTTCAGCAAGCATTCCTAAAGTGATATTACCGTATCTAAGAACTTATTACTCTCCTTCCCCACAGCACCAAAAAAAAAGGGGGGGAGGGCCCTTCTCCAAAGGTAATGCTCCAACCAAGAACATGGTCTGGCCAAACCAGAACCAATTTTGGTTTTAATCCAGAGGTGGGCAAGTGCAGGTGCCCAGATGATGGAGTATAATTCACACCGTCCCTTGCCACTGGCTATGCTGACCATGGAAAATGGGAGCCACAGTGCAAAAACATGCGGCGATCCACACTTTGCTCCTCTCTGTTATTGAACTCAATTGTGTTTCTTTCTGTATACAAAAGCAAAGGACTTCACTGAGTAGGACAGTACCGCAACAAGTCCTAACCCATTTATTTAATGTTTTGGGATTATGGGAGTTGCAGTCCAACAACACCTGCAATGTTACACATTTCTTGCCATGGATTTAAACACATGCTTACATTTCTCCCTATGAAAAGCAAAAAAATGCTTCACTTGAGGAGGCAAAACGTTCTCTACTTTAGCAAATACTATGGAGCCCTATACAGCAAATGTTTTTTTTCTGAAATGCATAGGCAAGGTGTAACTTTCCTTTCTCTGATTATGTAAGAAATGCCACCCAAATTGATGAATGCTATCCATAAATGAGACAAAGCATGAAGATGTGAATTCAAAACTAGAAAAATCCCATTAAGTGATTCAATATCTAGTTTAGATCCAAATGGAAACATAATCACATTTAATTTCTCTGTTTGATTTCTGGAAAAATTGCCTTCATATGGAGAATTGTTTTTGGCTTTCTATTTCACTTCAAGACAGCTGTGAAAATTCTACTAAATCTTCTGTGCTTGTTGGGAATCTTGACTCAAGGACAATTTTATGTCATTTCAGCTATTTGTTTATTCCATGCCATCCAGTCACTTCCAACTTATGGTCATCCTAATAGGGTCTTTGAGGTATGGGAGATATTCAAGGAATGATTTATCATTGCCATCCTCCTGTGAGTTCCGATAGTCAAGTAGTGAAATGAACCCAAATCGCCAGTCCTAGTCCAATCATCTATCCACCACCTCACTAGCTCTCATTTCAACTATATCCCTTTGCTGATCATTTCAGGTTACTCACACATGAACATTGTGTTTGCATGGCTCTTCACCATGTTTACCCACCAAAGGTAATGCTCCAGTTGTTGCTGTTAGGATAGATCACTTTCCTTGGGCTTAAAAAGCAGGAAGTCAACACCTTTGGACTGTATGATTTCACAACTCACTTCATCCTCCAGTTCATCCCTTGAATGTGTAAACAAACCAGCAGCTAAAGTGAATTAATGGACTGTGATATCAGATAACTGATCACATAAACAAGTGGCCTTGCTTTGAAAAGTAGCTTCAGCAGCTTGATACTTAAGGGAGTTAACTAGGTTCAATATGCATTCAGTATGCATCTAAGGGATACAAAGTAGTCCAATTACCATAAGCAAGATAAAGATTCCTGATCTGCCTTCATTGGACTACCTACTTACTGAACTACTTCAGCATGAATTCTTCTCATGATTATATGCTTATTTTGTTTCATGCAAACAAATCTTTATTTTCACCATCCTTGCCTTCTGGCACATGGGACTTATTAACAATCCTCTTTCTTAGCATCAAAAAGCTAAACTTCCATTTTTGCCATGGAAAGATTACTAAAGGCCCCAAACACCACAAAATAGTAAATGTCTCCAAAAGGATATAAGTTATTAGGAATACAAGGGCAATGGGAATTTAGACTGAAGTTGAAGCTGACAGTTCACTTCCCTCTGGAAAGTCAAACGGGATATTGCTCATTGACTGCAGAGGTTAGGAGAACTAAGTCCAAATTTAATTTTGGGCACAAGCCATGTCCTCTTGAAATTAAAGGAAATTTCACATTCACATTCAAGGATTAAGATTCTACCCTTTGTTTTGCAGTATTACTAGTTTAAGAGAAGATTTGGAATTCTGTCTCATACTGATGTTAAGGGTTATTTGGAGAAACAATGAGCAGGGAATTGGCTCAAGAGTGCAAATTGTTCTAGTACTCTGAGTCAGATTTGTCTTAACGAAACTATTACAGCAATATGAGAAACTGATCCTGTGAAGGGGTATGTGAATGTCAATTTATAGCACAGCTTATATATTCTGCTCTTTGTCACCAAACCACACACTAACTTGCACATTATGAAAAAGTCATGGCTATCAGAAGAAAAATTAAACATGTAGGGTTTTTTTGCTTTGAAAATTCTAGTTTCCAATACACCAAAGCATATAACTTCCAAGATGTGGAAACGCTGTTTAGATTCCATCTAAACTTTTCAGAATCAATGTTCTTTTCAGAATCAATGTTTTCTCCTAACAGATCCTTGCATAGAACACATCAACAACACATTTCAAACGAATTTATTGTTTTGTGTTTTATAAATTATCAGCAGCCGGATTTCTACTACCTCTCATGCACCAATTCCTGTACCTTATGTAGTTTGGTCATCATCACCCATGCACCCCATGAGAAGCAAAATCGGGCACAATTAGAACATTTTATCTCCTACAGCCATTGCCCAATCTTCTCAAAACGTTGCAAGTGCAACCTACAGGCATACACTTTCTCAAAGGGTGTGGGGTTTCCGAACACATAAACAGAAATGGGTGCACAGAAAGACACTTGGAGAACACTGCTGCACCACCTTTACTACACACGACTATGAAATAACACACGCTAAGGTCAGGGTGCCCCAGTGGATGGGGGCATTCCGCTGTCTTGGTTTTCATTTCATTTTCTGATTCTGCCTGACCGCCACACATTTGAACACACGTCTGAACTCCCCCACTCTTGCCCTCCACAAGGGGATTGTGCTGAGCCCAAAGGGAATGGAGGAGACCCCACAGCGTAAATCTGAAGTTGGGCTCTGGGCTGCGAAGGGATGATCAGCCCACCCGAGACACGCGTGACCGGCGAGGGGACGAGCCTTACCAGTTGCAGCGGGGTGACTCAGGAGGAGGCGAGGAAGGCGAGGCGCAGGCATGCATGCATGCATAGAGCGCTGCAGCTTGCAGATCGGAGCCTTTGCGTCTCACCTAGGAGTCGCCGCCGCCGCCGCCGCTACCGCAGCCCGGATAACAGCTCTGGCTGCCATTTGTTGCACGCTTTCTGGAGGGAGCCGCAAGCGAGGCATGAAGGAGGCAGCCTTTTTCCCCGAGGTGGTCCCGCACCGTTAAGGAACTGACCCGGTGGCGGCGAGGAGGGGCTCTCTCCGGTTTGGTTTTTCTCCCCGCCCAGTGCTTCAGTGTGGCAAAATCCCAAGGCAACCCGAGGCGCTTCCCACCAGAGCTCGGTTCGGCGGCTGCTGCGCGCTGACTCTTCGCCTCATGTTGCACCGCCAGCCGGCTGGCACGTCCCGATCGCTCTGGCCGCACTTCGCTTCCCTCGCCCCCCGAATGCTGATCAGGAGCAGCAGCGGCGGCGGCTGAAGCAGCGCGGCGGCGGCAACATCCTGCAACCCGGGCGTGGCAAAGGCAGTGCCTTGCAAGAGATACAGACGTGTGAACGATTGAGAGTCACTCTGCAGAGTGGGGGGGGGGCGATCGCCTGTGCTCTACAGGTGTTGCCGCGACGGAGAGATCACGGAAAGGTTCCCCCCTCCCATCTCTCTCATTCTACATTTGAGACCTCGCCCCCTTCCTACCTGAGAGGGGGGGATCATTTATGCCACATGCAACCTCTGCGATCAGGGAGTGGTAGATGTGCCTTCGGTGGCAGGGTAGACCCCTACTGAGAGTTTCTTCCGACGACGTGCCAAAAGCAGAAGTGGCGGACGCGAAGCCTCCGGCGGGAGCTTCCTTACCCTCCCAGCCCGGCTAAGTGGGGGGGGGGAGGGGGAGCGTCTGCACGTTGTGTATTCAACACGTCTTTCCTAAATGGGCATCCCTTGATTCGCCCCGCCCGCCGGGGAAGAAAAGGTTTGCGTTCTCTTCTCTTTTGCCCGTCGTGTCAGGCCAAGCTAGGTCTCTCCGGTTGGGTTGGGTTTCGCCCCTGCCATTCGGAGCCTCCTGGCCTCCGAGATGAGAGCGTCTGCCAGGCATGCTCGGTTACGCTTCTGATTCCTATTCCCTTTACTACAATCTGTCCGCCCAAGAGACGGATTCCAGAGAGGCCCGCAAGTCGCCACCCTCCCGCACAGCAAACGAGCTCCGGGTAGCACGCCAAGGGCTCGTGCTTTCATTTTTCCCTTCCCCAGCTTCTCCGTAGGGTCTCTCTTTTCCCTCCCCTCCCCCTGTTTCCCAACGCTCCAGAAACTCTCGCTCCTGTTGCTCCTACTGGCCCCAGCTTTTGCTTCTAGCGCTCCGGGATCCCCCCAGATGCTCCGCTTGGGCTGCCTGTGGATCACCGAGAAAACACCACAGGGCGTGTCCCAGGCTCATTTTAAACACCAAGCTTGGTAGAATGGTTACTGCGCACACGTCCGCAACCTCTCCCTTTTTTCAACTGATATCCAAGGATGCCGCTTTCTATCTTCAAGCCCGGGCAGAATCCGTATCTCTGCAGATAACGTCCCTTCCCTCAGGTTTCGTGTGTGTGTGTGTGTTTAGATACACCGGAGACGGAAGAGAGGGCTCTCCTCCTCATCCGCACTAGTTGATTTTGTGCCCTTTTGAGTCGAGCCGAAATGACTCCCTCACACGCACACTCTCTCGGTTTTTCTTTGCACCCCCTTCTTATCAGCAAGCAGCAACTTGGCAAGGAGGTATCGGAGGGGGAGAGAGCGAGGCAGTTTAATATTAAGAGACTACCCGCCCAAATGCAACCTTACGGAATATCCCTGCGATGTAAACACTGAATCCGTGCTCGTTCTCTCCCTCCTCCACACCCGCACCCTTCCCTTGAGCCTTATACCGAAGCCCGAAGCCACCGCCGGGCGCAAGCGGCCGCTGAGGGAGAAAGGCGCGTTTGCAAGAGGGAGAAAGAGCGCGCGCTTCCTCCTGACAGGAAATGCAACAGGCGGCCGCCGCCTTACCTCAGCCCAAGCCTAGCTCCCTTCCCGCCGGCTCTGCTCCATACATAGCGCGCGCACGCACACACACACAGACACGCAGAGGAGAGACTTCTTTTTGGGTGGAGGAGGAGACGGTGGAGAAAGAAATGGCTACTGTCCCTTGCGCCTAGGCCTGCTGAAGGCGCTGCCAGCGCTTTCCCGAAGCGAGGACATCTTGCCAGGGACTGAACCCAGGAAGGGGGTTCCGGGAGAAGCCTTTTTAACACCAGCCCTCCGTTTCGCCCTACAGCCTACACCGTTGGGGCCGGGGGGGGGGGCTTGGCTAGGGAGTAACAGAAAGTGAGGTCAGCCCAACCCCCCAGATCAGAAACCTTGGGATGAGAGGGAGGCAAATAGGAGTGTGGTTGTGGGATTCTAATTACAAGGGGAAATAAGGTGAAACACCTCTCTGCCAGTACTTGGTGCCACTACATCATATTCGTTAGTTGGTTGATTGCATCAAAGCCTCCTCCCTCAGGCTTTCCCAACAAATAGGCAAAGCATGTAGGGACGGTACAATAAAATTATGTGAAAAATATAAGAAAATTGGAATAACATTGATCGAAGCACAATCGGCAACAGGAGAACAAAGTTTTTAAAAAGAATGGAAAGGGATCAAGAACTAAGCAAACATATTTTTAAAAACTCTTAATTGGGGAAAAATATTGTAAACTCATGGAATATGCATCTCATACTGCAAAATAATTTTAGCCCTCCAGATGTTCTTGACTCTCACACTCTTCATTTTTTACTATTGGCCATGCTGGCAGGGCTGCTGGAATGTGAAGTGCAACAACATTTGGTGGGCCAGAAAGCAGCAGAAAGAATTAAAAAGCTTCTGTAGCATTTGGTTTATCAAGTCTGACTGGGGTTGGTAGGTATTGCCTCTTTATAGAACATTCCTTCTGAGGTTATCTGCTTATTCCTTATCTGTCAAGTAATCCCATGGTCTATGGAAAACATAAATTCTTAAATACTTGCATGACATAAATAATGTATTTAATTTGTATTCATCAGATCAATCTGACTTCCAGATACTAGCCAGTTGTGTTGAGCAATATTAAAACTGAAAACCATTCTCAATAAGGTTAACGGACCCAGTTTCAAAGCACCAGTTGTGTTGAGCAATATTAAAACTGAAGACCATTCTCAATAAGAAGGTTAACGGACCCAGTTTCAAAGCCGAATTGTTGGTTTTCTACTATTCAAAACGGGTGCAGGACAAGCTTCAGGAAAAAATGCTGTAATCTCCAGGAACTGATTGTTGTGGTGGAAATAAGTGCTCTACTAACGAGATGGGAATATATTGATCTTTCTAAGGAGAAATCACACTTATAGCACATTTAGCATTCATCAGAATCCTGCTGTCATTTTGACTTTTCAAAATAAAACTGCTGGTTGTGGAGGAGTGTGGTAAGGGAAAAGAGAAGAATCAAGTGAAACAGTAATTAAGGTAAATCAATTAAGTAAACTAAAGCACAACAGACTACATTGTATGGGAGACAAATCTAAAATATTCATTCTGTTTGGTCGAAACTTTTTTGCCAAGCACTTCACCTTTCCCGTAAACACAGATAACCACTTTACCTGTACTGTGCAAGTAAATAAATAAATCATGAAGCTACCTATGCCAAAGTACTGTAAAATACCTTGGGTTCATCACATTAACTCCATAAGAAGAGCCCTGCTAGATCAGGCCAAGGGCCCATCTAGTCCAGCTTCCTGTATCTCACAGTGGCCCCACCTGATGCCTGTGGGAGCAGATGAGACAACTAGATACCTGTCTCCTGATACTCCTCCCCTGCATCTGGCATTTTGAGGTACCTTAGTTTATTCCAGTTTTTTATTTACAGTCTCCATATTTATCCCCAAATTCCCACCATCTATACAAGGCTAGGTAGGTGGGAATATGAGAAGACTATAACAAGTAATGATTTCCATTGTCTTCTAAGGAATAAATATACATATCAGGCTGTGGAACTGATGCAGACCAGAATTTGCCCTTTCTCTGGAATGTTTACATACATACACATCTCTGTTTACAGCTCCTTTACATTCTCTGACAGTTCACAGTACTGTATATGCTGCCATTGGGAATAGTGGCTGGAATATTATTGGTGTTTGCATAGGTTTTGTGTAATTGGCTACAGGTCTGCACCTAATTAGTAAGGTGCCAGAGCATGGCTTTGGTTATACAATCTGGTGTGTAACGAAGACATATCACCAGGACCAACTGACAACTTGCCCATTTACCATGGCAAATTATGCAAACCTTATATGAACACTAATAGTATTCTGGCCAGTGATGAGCTATCAGGTTCATGTTCACCCCAAAAATGAATCTGGGTCCTTGGAGCAGTCCTTTCAACCCTCTAAACACAAATGGAGGTTCAGGCTTCTTTGCTATAAATAATGCTGCCAGCTAGTCTCATCCCATAAGAATGAGATCATGATTGTAGCTCAACTGTTACACTGAACTGAAAGAGATACTGCCAGTGTTCCTGCATGGGTTGCATTTTTATTTGGCCAGGAGTCAGGAAAAGAAAGGTCCCCCCTCCTTTTTTTTAAGGGGGAAAACTAAGGGAACAGCACAGTGAACACTAAACATGTTTTGTAGGTATCGGATGTTGGCTGACTTGGGGAATGGCCTGCAAAATGGAGAGCAAAAAAGGGTGGGATGGAGTGATTAGAAACCTGGTTAGGAGTATTCAGTGTTGCAGCAATTTACTTCTGGTTCTACAGTATTTGTTAGGCATCAGTCTGCCAGTTCATTGGTGTCATCTGTATAAGAATGGCTTACGACTGCCACCCTGCACTGCCATATATGAATAGGATGTGGCTTGCGGTTTCTGAAGTACTGCTTATTCCCAATCTGGGGGCAAGCAGGGCCGGACTGGTCATCTGGAAATTCTGGCAAATGCCAGAAGGGCCGATGGTCAGAAGGCCGGTTCCTGCCTCAGCCAGGGCCGATTTTTGGTCCCAGTCCGGCCCTGGGGGCAAGCCTCAAAGTTTGGAGGATCCACTCAAACAATGTATGCCCGTACGGTGACCAAGAGTATTAGAATACACTGATGTACTGATAAGGGTTACTTCACTATCTTCCAGATTCCCCATAACCCACATTCTCCACTATAGATTGCTGAAGCCATCCTCAATCCACTATGTGGTTTCAATGCATCATGTCTGAGGAACTGGGCATGTCCTTTGAGCAAATTACCTGTGTTTATATCCCTCCAATATTCTGTTTGAAGATGCACATTTTAGTAGGCCTGTTGTCAAAGGATTTTCTTATTTTCAGTAGGTAGATATACATACTATTTCTGGGATGACAAGAACCAGTTAAATTTTTAAACTGCATTTTTAAAATACATTTCTGAAAATGGGTACTTGGGAACCTTTGCTCATTAACTCAACAGCATGCAATTTTTATACCATTGTTAGTCATAAAAGGATTAAGCCCCCATTAAAAAGGAAGAATGTATGTTTAATGGATCAAAAGAAGGTCATCTGATTTTTGTACAGTGTAGCAAGAAGCAGTAATATGCACTGACCTTGTTATATACAGTTATGAAAAAAAATGAGAAAGGCCTAGAGCAGACCTCATAGACATAAAAATATATAAAGATAATGCTAATTAGTATTTATAAATATTTAAAAATGAGTTGTAAAACTTTTGCTTATAGTTACTTTTATCTGCTAAAGCAAAAATTGTTGTGCCAACAATTTCAGTTTATTAATAAAGTTTATTAATTATTTTTAATGCAGTAATTAAGAAACTAAGCATTGTAGTTTG